CGGCGAACCTGGACCGGGCGTGCCGCGAGGGGGCCAGAGGAGTGCGCGCGACCCTGCGACCTGACCTCGACAGTCCACGCAGTGAAACCTGCTCCGCTGGTTCCCGGCTCGGCCGTGGAGGAGCCAGGGAACCGCAGGCCAGACTGGAACAGACACCGCGAGATGAACTGGACAGAGGGAGCATGGGAACCGCCAGGCCGGCCACCTGCCCCTCACCGGCTCTAGGGACACCACTCGGCCTCCAGCGTCCTGCAGAGAGCCAACGCGCTGGGGCCAGCGGAAACACCCGGGGTCGGCCCTGGCTGCTGGCCAACGTGAACCGGTTGGCCTCAGCTTTCCATCCGTGACTTGGGCGAGGGAGGACCCCAGGCAGCCAAAGAGTGCCAGGGAGAAGTTCCAGAAAGTGCAAGAACCTACCTCATACCCACCCCGTGCAGAGAAGGCGAGGACCTGTGAGCCCCAGAAGCTCATCCTGGGGGCACCGGGTCAGCCGAGGCCACGGCAGCCCCTCTTTTCTGGAGGCGGCACCAAGGCTGAGCTATGCTGCTTGCCAAGTGTCGGGACACAGCCGGGGCTGCAGTGGGGGAGGAGGGTGCAACTGGGCATTCAGGCATCCTGGGGCAGGGCAGAGTGCCGGGGAGTCAAAGGCCAGCGGCTTTCAGATGGTGGCTTGTCGGGGTAGGCCAGGTTGCTTCAATGAACCGAGGGGTTTCAATAGGTGAGATGATAGGAGAGTCACAGGTCCTTCCCCAGCCCCTCCAAGGAGTCCAAGGCTTGCTCAAAATGACACATCCAGGAGCCAAAAGTGCACCCAAAGTGGGATGCTAGAGCCCAGGCCTCAGGCTTGTGGTGCTCTCAGTGCTCCATTCTCGTCTGTGGTACACGCGGCTCCCTCCCCAGCCTGGGCCCGATAGGCTCGCCCCAAAGCTCTTCTGGGGTGCCGGGGAACGGTTTATTTAGGACAAACCCCACATGCCTTCTCCTGCCTTCCCAGCTACAGGCCAGGTGGGGCCTCCCGCTCCTGTCTTGGGGATCCTGACACTTGTCCAGAAGAACAAAGATGAAGTGGGGGAGGCGGATTGCAGTAGGGTGGGCTATAGCAGGGACATCTGGGGAGAGTGGGTGGTTTAACGACAAGCTTCTGTGTGGAGAGGGCTGGGCTCGTGCCCTTCCCCACGACCCCAGTCCAGTGCTGGGGCATCCCCCCGCTGCAGCCCCAGAGTTTCCCCAAGTGGCTGCCCCAGGCCTTGCGCCTGGCTGCACCAGGCAGGTTCTGCCCGCCCTGGAGTTGCGGGGTCCACTCAGATTTGATTCTACTCCTGCTTGGCCTTTTCGGGGAGTTGGGTTGGGACTCCAAGGGACAGCAGGGATGTGAGCCAAGGGCATGGCTGAGAAAAGTAAAAATAGGGGCATGGAAGGGACAGGGGGTCGAGTTGAACCCCTAACTCCCACCGTGCTCCATCCGCGCTGGTGGCTGGTCTCAGTGCTCAGAGAGGCCACACGGGCTTCCTCCCGTTCTGGTACCCCAATCCCTTCGCTGTAGCAGCCAGCTGTCCTGAAATCCTGGGGTTCGTGAGGAAGCCCAGACACCTGTGCTATTAAGGCATTCAATGCAAACACAGAGCAACAAATTCGAATTCCAGAATTTTCTCCAAGTAAACAAAGCTTCACTTGGAGAAGCTCAGTCCCTGGCCCTCGGCCCTGGAGGTGGAGAGGTGATGGTGGAGAGGTGACCCGGGAGGAGAGGGGGCTCGCGTGATGCCCTGCGGAGCTGCAGGGACGCTCTCGCCCTAGCCCTCCCGCGGCGCCCTGCAGCCGCGTCCTGGTGCCCTTGTTCGGGGACTAGGAAGACGCAGGCCGAATCCCGCGGCGACAAAACGAGCCCGCGCGGGCTGGAGGCGGCCCACGAGGCACGAAGCAGAAATGCCTGGGTTCCCGCGACACGGGAGCCGCGGGGGTCCGATTTGTAGCTGGAAAGGCCCAGAGACACAGGAATTTCGAGCCCTTGCTACTTCACAGCCTATTTCTAGAAGTCACCTTCGCCGTCCTCCTGTATGCCCTGATGCAAATGGTCCGTCCTATCAGTTACCTCCTGTTAACCATAAAAAGAAACGGGATATTGTTTTTTTCTAGAATATTCCGCAAATGAGTGGCCGTATTTGGGGCGAATCCCAGCGGGGCCGAGCTTGTTTTCTCCGGCACGATGGCGCTGCCGGGGCTCTGGCGCGGGTCTGGTGCTGGGGGCTGGGAGGAGGGGGGACTCGGGGCCACCGGCGCTTCCGCGGAGCACTGCAGCCCCCGAGCTCCCGCGCCCAGCCCCGCGGCAGTCGCGGGTTCTGGCGCTCAGACCCGGCGCGCCCTCCCGCCGCTCGCGAGCCGACCCCAGTCCTTCGCGGGCCTCCCCTGAACGGAGCCGGGACGCCCGCCAGCGCGACCGCAGGACCTCAAGGGTCCTGCCCAGTCGTTGGCAGGAGTCTCGAGGCTGGACGTGCAGAGGCCGCCCGGCCCGCCTTCGGTGTAAAGGGAACGCGCCAGGAAACCCCATGCGCAGCGATTTTCTGGACACCCCGGCTCCCTGGGCCCCGCGTGGCCACCGCCATGAGGCACGCAAGGACTGGGCGGCAGAACTGGGCTTTCGGCAGCGGCTCTGGGTCTCCATTTGTAAAATACAGAATGAATCAGGAGAGCCGAATAAAGACAAAGCCATTTTTAAACGTTCGATTGGCGAAATCGCCACACTTAGCAAACGCTTTCATTTTCAGAGCTGCCTGTGGCCGTACGCAGGTCCAGAAAATCGATTGTGTTTCCGGGCGAATCCCACCCAGGGAACTGAGTCCTGGGAACGCGGCCGTGTACACAGAAAGCCCATATGTCGGAAGCAAGGTATGAGTGGAAAAGAATCGAGCAGTCAGGACGCAAACGCATTTATAGATTTACTGTCGTGCCTTTGTGGGGATCTACAAATTTACGCCTGTTTACGCCGCTTTTAAACCTCCGTGGCGCTGCCGCGGTGCGCGGGCTGGGCAGGCCACGCTTGCCCCCTCCGCGTCCTCCGAAACGAAACCTTAGCCGCGTCGGCCACAAGCTGCTCTTCGGCCCAGCCGGGTTCCCGGAGGAGCTACTTTAACTCGTACTGGCCAGGGAGTTTAGGAAATGAGTTACCCAGATCCGTGTATCCTCCATCCCATGTGCTCCAGACTGAAGAGCCAGACCCAAATGGGGGGCCCAACTGGAGAAAGCGGGGAGCCGCGGGTGCATTCTGGGACCCACTCGGCCAAGGTGGACCGGCACCCCGGACAACTCCAGTATTTTGCTCAATGTTTGGGAGACTCAAGGGGCTGTGCCCACACGTTCATTATGCGAGTGTGTCCGTAGGGCCCGGTGGCTGGAACGCGGGACAAGGCTTTTGGAAGGCCCTGCATTCCTCGCACTGACTTTTCCTGTCAATGGGAGAGACGCAGGCTATTGACCCAGCGGCCTCCTCCTCTCCGCCTATTGTCGCGGCTCAATCACGCACTTACCGGAAGAAAAGGGAGTTTATTTTATCCTGGAGGAGCCTCGTGTTGCAAGTGTGTGTGTGTGTGTGCGCGTGTGACTCAAGGGTGGGAGAAATTCTGCAACCAGGAATGTGCAGATGGGTTGAAGATAGACACTTCCAGAAAAGGGCCAATTTCCCCTTCACAATGAGCGCTAAGTACCTGATAAATGGGGCTGGTGTTTATTCATGAGCAGGTACTTTGGGGGTGGCGATTAGAGCAGCCGCGCGAGCCGCCCAGCCAAGGTACTTAAAGCGGGGCAGGTGCAGCGCGGCGCGGCCCCAGCGCACAAAGCCCGCGGCCGCCGCGGCGCGGGGAGGGGCCTGAATGCGGGCCGCGCCGGGCCCAGAGGGCGCTCGGCGAGCAGACACCTTAGTCCTTTGTTCCTCGCCCGAAGCCAAGGCCACTTCACCGAGGGGCGCCCCGGGAAAACCTCCCCTCTAATTACCAGGAATTTCCCTTCGTCCCTCCTCCGGGAGCCCAGCCCGGCCACTCTGGGGCTGGCGGACAAGGAGACTCAGCGTGAGACAAGACTCGACGTTTGCATAAACGTTGCCTGGGAGCCATCTATTAGCTACCCAGCTAAGTCACTAGCTCAACTACTAGGGAAAACACAGAACCCAGGCCTGGGAACCGCGCGGGTACGCGGCTCTGGTCGCCCCCGCCGCCGAGGCGCCACCTCTGGCGGTGCGGGCAACCTCGGGCTTTCAGGTTTTGTTTCAACTCCAAGGGGAGAAAATTGGGGTCTGTCTCTTTCCACAGCTTCCTGGCGCCGAGGTCATGAGACAAACCCGATCTCGCCCTCAGAGCGGCTTCAGAATCCATAAGGACTCCGAGCCTTTGCTCACGAGCGGCGGCCTCGCCTCGACGCGCGGAGAAAGCTCAGCCAGCGACAGGGCCTCGGGCACAGAGCGCAGGCTCCTCTGCGCTCACGGATGTGCAGCGGGCGAGGGGTCCCTGCTGCTGCGCGGGGCAGCTCTGTGTCTGACATAGCCCTGGTGGAGCTCAGGGGCTTGGGGTAGCAAACTCCGGAGGTCCGAGGCTTGGCGGCGTGTGCGCTCTCGGCCCCACTCCTCCGGCCTGCCCAGATTGTCTTTCTAATTTTTTTATAAATCGTTTCAAAAAGCAGATCAAGATCATTTTTCTCCAGTTCACAAACTCAGAGAGGAGAAATCTACGTTTCAAACAAGTTGGATTCCCTTTGGGAACAAAATTCTTTCAGAATGATAAGAAACCAAGGGCAGGGACCTGACTGTCACCCAGTACGGAACAGTTTTTACATTTTCCCCCACGAAGAACCCGACGGCTCTCCCGCCCCATGCAGACTGACCAGGAGATTGGAGATATTAACGTTCGTTATAGAGTTTCGTGGAACATTGGGTTTAGGATAAATTATAGATACAATAATTCTCATTCCTGAGAAAATTTGAAAAACCGAAAGCAGGCACCCAGAGGCACGGCGGGGAGGGGAGGGCGGAGGCCGGCCCAGTGCCCAAGACTGGGACGGCATAGCCACCAGCGAGTTCTCTGCCAGGCGAAACCAAGGTCAACACGCGCGGTGGCAGACATTAATTAAGAGGGATCACAAGAGAAGCAAGGCTCTCCCCCACCCCGAGTCTTCTGCCAGGACCTGAGCTGGGGTTCGCGGGTGCAGCGTTCTCCCGGATCACAGCCTGAGCCTCCTGCGCCAAGGAGACTAGGGTTGGGGAGCGTGGTTTGCAGGACTGCCTGGCAAGCCGCGTAAGGCCCGAGCGCAGCCGTGTTGCCAAAGCCATGCGAACGGTCTCATTGCACGACAGCCTTGGGCAAATATTACTGCGCTGCTGGGGAGCGCCGGGCAGCGCAGCGCAGGTCCCCAAGCCAGAAAGGTGCGGAGCCCAGACCGGCTGGCGCAGGAGTGAACCGTGTCCCAGGCTGGAACAGACAAGAGTGTGGCCTCCCCTCTGTCCACCCCTAGACCTTTGTCATCCCGGGTAGGGGCCCCAAATTTAGACTGGAAGTGGAAGATAGATCGGAATGGGTGTGGGCTGATGGAGAGGGCTAACTTAGATGACGCATCACAAAGTAGTGTTTATATTTTCCATTCCCAAGACCCAAAAGATGCAGGTGTGATCGGGAGTGCCGTCAGTACTCTATTGATTTTCTTCGCAAGACAGATTTAGAAAAACTCATACAAATATAATGAATAGGATTCTTAGGGAAAGCGATATGCCCGGATGCAATCTTTGGCCCCCACTCCTCAGGTAGGCTCCCCATCCCCAACAGCTGTAAGTTTGTTTTGTTTTCCTAAGTGTCTCTTGGGCACATGCATTTTGGCCACTCATTGGCATCCTCGGCTTCTGATTTGTGCAGCTCACTCTGGCAAAGCCACACTGACCGAGGGTCTCACTCAGGCAGTCTAGAGCGGTCATGAGACCTGCCAAGCAGGACCCCTGCGTGGGAGTGGCTGGATAGATCAGACTGAATGTCCCTAAATCCGATCCCGGAACCACCGGAGGCAGAGCCATCTCACCCATGAAGAGTTTTATATGGTTTTGCAGTGAGTTGAGGCAGGAGTCTCCAAAGGGTTTTTGTTACTATTATATCACAAATGCCTTGTATTTCAGTTGGTTGGTGACCTATCTCCATCTGAGACAAGCCAGGACCATCTCATTAACCTGCCATCCTCTCCATCGCCAACCCGGTGAGTGATGTAAAGTGGTGCTACTGATGCCAAATTTTAACCGGAAGCACCAGCCTAGACAATGTGACCTGCTGGCCTTGGGGTGTGTTAGCCTTCCCAGAGCCCACCCCTACCCCAGCTTCCTCCTCTCTGCAGCAGCCCCCTCCATGGGGTAGGACAGCACCAGCCCTCAAGATGGGGCCTCACTGGGGAAAGTGAGAGGAAGCTCACCCCTGCCCCTTTTCCCTGACCTTCCCCCCTCTCTCTCTAGGTTTGTGATGAAAGGACTGAGGTTTCTCTGACCCAGGACCAAACAAGACAGGGATTACCGTGCTGAGATTGGGTAAGCACGATCTCCCGCCCACCTCACTCTTTGCAAAGCACCTTCGCATGCTGCATCTCCTGCAAGGCATCCTGAAGAGACACTGCCAGCTTCCTTCAACAGATGGGAAACTGGAGCTCAAAGAACGGCTGGAGATTGCCTGAAGATTTCCCAGCATGGAGGGCAGAGCCAGGATTCCGTGACATTCTAAGTCTAGGGTGGTTCTTGACGGCCTCTTGCCCAATTCCAAGGAGGATGGGGACATCTTTCAGGAGGCCTTGTGGGCTAATATAGGGCCCTAGCTTGGTACCCAGAGGTGAAGACATTCAATTGAATGCCGCTGTCACTGAATCCCGACTTCTGTACAAGGCACATACCAGGCAAAGATAACTTCCACAGCCTCTGACTCAGAGTCGTTAAGGGTTCTCGGAGAAGCAGCTCCAAAAGCTGTCAGGAAACCATATCCTAGAGAGGGCACGCCCAGAGCATGGGCAGTGCCAATTCTCTGAGGGCCAGACAAGACACATGAGCTCTCTAATTGGGCACCGTGTTGCCTGGAGTCCACTAATGCTCTTAGAGACCATCTGGGACTTCTTTGCAGAGTAGGCGGGTGTTTTGCTCTGCTGGTACCATCTTGCCCAGAGGTGGAGGAGCCTGGACCCTTAAAGAGGCCCCTGGAAAGGAAGCAGCTCTTCTCCCAAAGACCCTGACATGCAGCCCCAGCGTGGCAGTGAGTGAGCTCTGCCAGGAGACCACAGTTCTGGTGTCCACTATGACAATGACCTCCTTCCCCATCTTCATGTCCTCATCTGCCAAGCGAGGGGGGTTGTAAAGGAAGGCTCCTAACATCTCTAACCTGGGGTTCCAAGAAGTGTGAGGGAGAGTGGTCCCATGGAAGCTCCTGCAGACTTCTGAGGACACTTGGAGAACAGGTTTCACCCACGGGAAGTACACATTTCTTTCTGAAACATTGTTCATAGATCAGCAGTTTGATGATGGCATTAGGCACAAAGATCCTGGAGCCAGGCTGCCTGGGTTCAAAACTGCCCCAGATCTGCCAATTACTAGCTATGTGGCTTTGGGCCACTTTATTCAGTCTCTCTGTGGCTCAATTTCCTCATCTCTAAAATAGAGATTAGTCACAGTGCCCATCTCCCAGGGCTCTGCTGAGGGCGAACAGCTAATACATATAAAGCACTTACAAGCATGCCTGGCACAGGTTAGCCATGGATTTGATCTGCCCAGACCCCCGGATGCAGCCTTGCCCCTGCCCAGTCCTCTTGGCTTCCACCACAGAATGTCACCATTTCTGTCCCTGTTGCACGGCCAGGATTTCAGCCTTCCCAGGGTCCCAGTATCTGGTCAGGAATGGGAGGAAGAAGGGCAGGACCCCTGTGCATTGCCTGATTGAGATGGGTACTTTGCCTGAACAATCTCTTTGCCTCTGTCTGTTGCTTATTTTCTGATATGGAAAGAGGTCGAGTCAGTCTCTCTCCCCAATTCTCTCTCCTTAATAACACCCCACTGAGACCACGGTGTGGAAACCTGTGTCCTTGGCTTTAAGGGGCGAGAGGGTGAGGGAGGCAGAGCTGGTGGTCCACGGGGCATGCTGCTCATGCTTGGGTAGGTCTGTGCGGTGGCGCAAAACCACCTGTGGCGCTGTTACCCTCCTCACACACTCAGTGTCAGCTCCCTGAGGACAGGGGTTTTCTGCTTTCTTCCCTGCTGCGTCCCCACTACCTAAAACAGTGCCTGGCACAGAACAAGCACCGAGTAAATAAATATAAATTCAATGAAAGGAGGCAGACGTGTCCTGCTGACCAGGTCTGCTTCCGTAGCAGGGTCTAGTCTTACATTCCTTTCCTCATCAAGAGGGGATGGTCAGAGTTTGTGGCTAAGAAAGAAAAAAAGAACATACTTCAGATCTCTATCCTGAAGAGTCTTCTGTTTCGGCCTATAATTCTCTCAATTATCCACTTTTCCACCCCTCCCCCCTAAACACATCTCCACACCTCTCTAAGTGCTTAGGGCCCAGGAGGGACAAGATTTCAAGGGTCTGTATTTAAGTAATTGGGGACCCATGTGACCTCTTGAGAGTGTGGGTCATCTGCCTGCAGAATGGGGCTGCCTGCTCCACAGTCCTGGCACCCCTTGGCTGCTTGGTTAAAGTACATCAAGACCTATTGGTGTCAGTTTTTTCTTTTCTGAGTGGGGAGAGGTATCGCTTTTACAAAATGCATAGTGACAGTAACATTGTCATTAGAGGCAATTACTGTTAATAATAATGACTGTCATTCATGGACACATTTGCAATATCTCAGACCCTGGGCCAGACATGGGATCCTATTTCATCCTCACAACAAGTCCATGAGATCAATTTGCAAGTCCATTTTACAGATGAGAAAACGGAGATGTGAGAAAAGTCTTATGGTTTGTAAAGCTGGAGTTTGAACACAAGATTCCAAAGGCTGGGCTGTTAACCCCACACCCTTAAGTCCTGTCTCTGGGAGATAAGGAAAGCAAGGGAACCCACGTGAAATGTGACAGGGCAGGCATTCACCGACTAGCTTAGGAACAAAGCTAGACAGTTGGTGTTAGAGTCAAGCGCACTGAGTCTAAACCAGCCTGCCTAAATTCAAAGCCCACTGGACCTCCTCCAGCTATGAGACCGAAGGCAAGTTACATAACCTCTTCACGCCTGCTTCCTCTTCTATAAAAGGGGACCAATGACAAGACCCATTTCCTTTAGTTGGGAGGACTAGATGAGTTAATATATATAAATAATAAATTATTGCTCTCTCAGTCTCACGCAGAGCGGTATTTATATGATACCACTCTTTGCAAAGCATGGCTGCCTTAAATGTTTTACCCATCCATGAGTTGGGGAACCTTAAGCAAAAAATAGTGTCTTGTCCAAGATGTCACGACAACCAAGGGAGAATTAGATTAGAGCTCAGACCAGAAGTTCCCATGAGGAAGAGGAAAAGTCTAGAGCAGTCTTTGCAGATGGTTTTGCAGATGGTTTCGCAGAAAAACGTTTCGGTTTCCCTTTTTAAAAAGATGTAAACATCTTCCCAGGCTGCTCTGACATCAGCATGTCAGTGATGAATCATCGGGAACCTAAACACATGCACTAGGTAGGTCAGTCTCCATTTTTAGTCAAGTTCCTGCTGGCCCCACTGAGGCCTTGCAGGAGGGTCCCGGGTCTCCTGCAGTTTGTGAAATTTCAATTCCTCCAGACCCTTTAGGGACCCAGTCAGATGGACAGCAGGGCTGTACAGAGGCTGAGAGGCTTCCTTCTGATATTTATTCTTTTTAAAATGTTAAAGCAATTTGCAAATAATTTTTCTCCTTTCTTTTTTAACAGCTTTCATGCTGGTTCTTGCTGTGGATGAGAGACCTCATGTGCCGTGGAGCAGAGGGGAGGAGCCCCCAGGAGCCGTTATCTTATGTTTAAGTCAATATTAAAGACAAAAAAAACTGAATCCTTAATGCTTTTTAAATTTATGTGTGTGTCTGGTTTTTTATTCATTCAGCCAGAAATGATTTCATTAACTGAGTGTCTATTAGGTACTTGGCAGTACAACTGACCCTCTGCTGAAGGTATCAAGAGACGGGGAGATACTGGGGAAATCTGGGCAGGCCTCCTGGAGGAGGAGTTTGGCCAAAGTTTGGCCAAGGGGAGATGGGGTGGTGTGTACTCTTGCAGGCAGGAACTTCAAGATGAGGAAAATCCCAAAAGTGAGAAATCCCAGGACTACACAGAGAAAGAAGAGAGGAAGAAACACCCAAGGGGAACAGTCCAGCTGCAGGGAAAGGCCCTCTCCTCCTTTCTAATCTGCTACCCTAACTTGCTGTGAATTTAGAAACCCAATACCAGGGATGTTAGAACTCCACAGAAAGCACTAGTACATAGATGACCGCAAAGCACCTGAGAGTGAAAGTCAGGAATGGGGGACAAGTTTCGGGCCACTCAGAAGCAGGCACGCCCTTTCAACTTGCCATCGCACTGGTGGGGTGAGGCACAAGCTAGCACCTGTCCCCACGCAGAATCTAGGGACCAGACGCGGGACCAGCAAGGGTCCTACACGCACACACAAAAGAACCTTTATGGCCCCTGCACAGCCACATAGTCGGCCCACCTCAGCCCCCCAACCGCCATTTGGCCTAGGACCTTAATTTAAGTCTGGGAAGGGGGCTGGGGGAGTGGAGTGGGCACGGCCGATTCCCCTAGCAGCCACACACGTACCCCCCCCAGCTCTCCAGGAGGGGCCTCGGGGCCTGGGGAGCTAGATTCTAGCTAGGGTCCCCTACAGCCCAAATCTGACAGGAGGCCAGGAGAGACGCAGAGGAGAAGACCGAGAGGCTAAGCGAGGAGAGGTGGGTGCGCCAGATGCCCTTGGGAAAGGCCGGCGATCTCTCCGGGCCGTCCCAGGGCGCACTTGCCCTCTGCGCGCTCCCCGCCCGGGCCTGGTACCCCTCAGAGCCCGGGAGCGGCAGCGCGCCCCCCGGAGGCCCAGCCTGGCGGCCCAGCCTCCCACCTGCTCTGCAGCACACCGCCCTCCACCCTGCTCCTCCGGGTCGCGTGGTGGGGCGGGGGCGGGGCACAGGGGGTGCGGGCGAACCCCGCCAAGGGCTCTTACCTCGGCGCAGGCATCCGTCCGACCAAGCGCAGTTTGCCGCTGGGACTGCGGGGTTGGGGAGGCTCCCACGGGCTGGTACCGCGCCTCCCCCGCCCCGAGCCCCCAGACCCTACAGTGGCCCCGAGCGGGGACGCCGGGACCAGGGGACAGGCGCCGCGCCGGCGGGAGGAGGCGGCTCCAGCAGGGTGCGGTGGGGCGGGGCGGGGGTTTGTGCCGGGCCCCGCCGGGGAGTGGATGTGGGAACGATTATCCCGGAGAACAAAGGCGGCCGGGTAAGGCTCGGCGCCCCCCGGGCCTGGCCCTGAACTTGAACTTGTACTTGACACTTTGTCCGGAAGGTGGCGAGGAAGCCCGTCTGAGCCGGGACGGGGCTCCTCGGTCCACCTTCCGTCCGGGGGAGGGGGAAGCCGGGCCTCCTCTGCGCCCGCGGGAGCTGGGCCTCCCCAGGGCCCCGGCGCGCCCCCACTGCCTTGGGCACCAGGGTCCTGAGGTCCCAGCATCCCCTCGGAGAGTCGGAGCGCCCACGAGGTCCTGGGTCCCCAGCCCCGAGGCGTAGGCCGGGCCCGGCGCCCCACCCCACCCCCGCTCCCACCCCTGCCCGGCCGGCTGCGCGGGGCAGGCCGGATTCTCTGCACGTCGCGTCGGCCGCCGCTATTCAGCGCCTAATTGAACGTTAATGGCAGGTGCGGATGAGGTCACCGGAGCTGGCTTTTCTCACACATTTTTCATGCAAATTCTCGAAACTCTAAACAAATTTGAATAAAAAGCTCTTTGTGCCGCGCGCCCCCCAGTCCTCTCCCTCCCGCCCGGGGTCCCGTCTCTGCCCGGTGCCCTGGGGCTGGATGGAGCCCGCCGGCCCGCGGTGGGGAGCCGGAGCCGGGGCAGCGCCGCCTGCCGGCCCGGGCTTCCGCCGGCCAGCGGTCGAGCGCCGCCGGCCTGCTGCTGCGCGGGGAGACACGTTTCTCTCGCGGTCTTGGGGCAGGCCAGGCCGCCGCTGACGGGGCGCCGGCCCTTCAGGAGGCCGCGTGTGTAGCGGTAAGAGCCTGGCGTCCGGACCGACAGCCGCGCCACACCCAACGGCCACCTCACACGGCCACCTCGGCCTCACTTCTCCGTGGGTTAGATGGGAACAGAGATAGCGCCCAGTCACGCACACACGGATGTGAGGACTAAGCCATGATTTAAGACGTGCACAGGCACTTAGAACAACAGTGCCTGGCACAAGAAAGTGTTGATTATTATCTGGCATCCAAAGGCCTCGCGAGAATAAATGCGGTGCTGAACGCAGGACTGTGATTTTGCACGTACATGAAAAATCTTGCCAAGGGCTTTCCCGAGATTCATGACCCCGCGCATCCCACTCTGGTCAGAGGTGAGATGTGCAGCCCAACTCCACTGCTTCCCAGCTGTGTGGCTTTGTACATTTCTTCGCCTCTCTGAGCCTGTTTCCTAGTCTATAAAATAGTTTCAGTCTTTTGGGTCACTGGGAGAATGCGATGAGAAGACACTGTTGGAGGTTTAGGAGGAGTTTGGGGGCTGGCCCCCAATCCAGATCCTCCAGGACCCCTCTCCTGAGGGAAGGGCACATATAATGGCCACCCTCAAGGCAAGGAAGGCCTTGGGCTGGCCATGGCCTTCGCCTTCTTGCCCAGATGACCCCAGCCCAGGTCAAAGACACAGACTTTCCAAGGCCTTGTGAGGCTTCTTGCTCCATCCTTCCCACCCATACCAGCGTCCCCACCATACCTCAAGACACCACGAGTGTCTTGATTTGCTAGTGGCTAAGTCTTACTTTCTTCACTCGTGTCCCTCCAGAAAAACTGTCCAGAGACATGGAAGGCTTTGCAAAGAAACTTTATTCATTGTGGACTAGTGTACAGAATGCAAGGGGGTTCACAGGATAGGAAGAGACCTCTCCCAGGACTTGCCCGAGGCCTCTCTCATGGGGGACCTGCTGGCCTTGGAAGGGTCCAGTGATTCAAGCCACCAACATGCATCTCTGCTCTTCCACTTCTGCTTCTCCAGCCTCAGCCTCGTCTTCCTGCCAGGCTCCTTCAAGCTTAAGGACCCCAAGAAAGAAGCCAAGTCCACAGGAATGAAGATGACCAGCAGCCAAAGGAGCCAATCCAGGTGAGGTTCTGTGACCCTCCTCCCACTCCAGTGCGAGTCCAGGCACTCTACAGAGATGGATGGCATTAGATGGAATGGGGGAGAACTTCAGGCAAAAGACTGTTTGAGGCGACTCTGCAGGGGAGGGGCTGATGTCTCTATATGTGAGGTCTGGCAAAGAGGGGGGTTGCAGCTTTGGGGACCTCCTTTAAGTGGCGAAGACAAACAGGATCTCTTTGGGACTAGGAGTATAGACTTTAGAGTCAAAATGTGAGACTTGGCTTTGATTCTCAGTTCTGGCACTTGCTAGCTGTGTACCTTGGGACCTGTAAGTTAACTTTTCTGGGCCTCGGTGTTTTCATCTGTAAAATGGGTGTGCCAGTGGTACCCACATCCCATGGAATTATGAGGAGTCACTATACTAAAGCACGAGATCTGGCCCCTGACAACCTTCTGCACGTGGTCACTCTTAGTGCTTCTTTCCTTCCCACTGTGCTAGCCCCTTACTCAATTTGGAGTTAGTGTGGCAGTCCCCAGGCCCCAGGGACCAGGTTTCCCAGGCCCCTCTGGGTGGCCCAATGGAACCTCTGCAGGCTGCTACAGCCCCCGGCCTGTGGCAGGTGAGGCCAGACGCAGTGCCTCCACCTCCAGGGGAACCCCATCAGAGACACTTTCTGGGCCATTTACTCTTTCTGGGGTGAAGTAGGCAGTGACTGGTGTTGGGCACAGCATTCTGCTTAGTGATGTTTTTCTCCCAGGCAAATAGAGCCTTTCGCAGCTATGCCCCAGCTGGGCCTCCCCCCAGCACAACGACACCTCTATTGGGCTGTGGCAGATGGGGGCGTCTCCCCGCTCACCATGGTCTATTGCCCTGGTGAGACCCCAGGGCCTCCAAGGGCCTCCTCCCCCAAACAGGCAGCTCCTGAGGGTGGAGGGGCAACATCTATCCGGAGGAAAACAGGGAGCCGACACCCACCCTCCCCCCAGCCCCGCTCCAGGTTCCTGGCTCTGTCTCTCACCTGCAGAGGAGCTCTGCAAACCACTCAACCTCTCTCTCAAATTGGTGAAAATGGAATAAGGACATTTACTTAAGCAAGATCCAAAGATACTAAGATGGGCACTTAGTGGGCTTTTGATTAACAATAGCAGCCATTATGATGACATGTGATTATTGGGCCCCAAAATGGCCAATGGCAGAGGCCACCTGTGATTCTGGGATTCTGCTTTTTCCTGCAACATTGCCACCACTCTCTTGAAGCACCTACCCCCAACTTGGCAGATAGAAGTTGAGCCTATTATGTTAAATAGTTGCTTTGCATTTTTTAATAAAATTATTTTACGATCATAGAAAGAAAACTCCTCTATCCCCCCTCCCCAGAGGTGGCCTTCTAATACATATTTCCAGAAACTATCCATAAAGAGCATACTTATGACTTTTAAATATACACAAATAAGAATCACACTCTATTGCCTGTTGTGCAACTCATTCTGTTTGCCCAGTAACATAAAGTGGCCAACCTTCCTTATCAGCTCGGATACAGAGATCTACCACGTCGATTTTTACAGCTGCGTAGTATTCCACAGTATGAACCGCAGGTTCATTTCCATTTCTTTGCACTCTTAAAAAGAAAAGCTCTGATGAGCATCCTGTACATACTGCTTCGGGAACTTTTATAAATACTCACAGAGTAAGTCCCTAGTAGTGCAATTTGTGACCAAGTATAAGTGCCTTTTACATTTGGATATTGCCGTGTTTCAGAAAACATTTTGTAATTTACATTCCCCAACTAACAGTGTTTGAGAGTCTCTTAAAATAGGCACATGATGGTACAGAAAGCACAAAAATAGCCAGGCAGTAGGAAACGCAGGCCACAGAGGCACCCAAGGAGCCCACCGACAAAGGTGCTGGACTGGCCTGCTGTTCTCAGGGCCATGCCCAGTGCTTTCTTCCTGTCTGGGCCTGTGCAGGCTTGTAGCCCAAGGGTGCCCTCAGTCAGAGGGGAGTGGGGCCCAGAGGGACACTGGGAGAGGAGGGCAGGCCAGCAAGGCTGGGGTCCCGCCTGAATGATTTCCTGCAGCCATTGTCTCTGCCCTGCCTGGTCTCCTTGGGGGGAGTTTATTCAGGGGCCTTTGGAGAGGGGGTTGGGCAGGAGGAGGGTATGCAATCCTCACCAAAGGCACCCAGGAATGTGTCACAGGAGGGAGAGAAGGGGGGGGGAACCCATCCCTGGGAGAGACGGGACGTCAAGAACCCCTGACTAATGAATAGAGAGTTTGCCCTTGAACCTCACTGGGCTTCGCCATTCTCAGGCACAGAACAAGAGCTGAGACACGTCTGAGCCCAGCTGCACAGGGACGGCGGCGGTTCATCTCAGACACTTTGACAGGCCGGGCCTTTTCCCTGCATAGCTCAGATCTGCCTCCGGGCTCCCCTGGCAACAGCACAGCAGCATGGCTCCCGGGTCCAGGCCCTGCCTGCTGTGAGCAGGAGGAGGGAGGAAGAGGAGCACCAAGGGGAGGACAGCTGGGGAGAGGGAGTCGTTAACTCCTAGAAGGCTGGCGCCCCTTGCTCTGGCACCTTCCCAGCGTGCTGCCCTTGGTCCCTGAGGGTGGAAATGCAGATGAAGAGCCTCCACTTGCCAGAGGCCTGGCCAGAGTGTCACACAGCACCCCAGACCTAGAATAGGCCTGGCAAGGTGTGACAGAGACAGAAGTGGTGGAGAAGGAGATTAGGCCAACAGGCAACAGATGCAGAGGCCCCTAAGGGATGGCTTGGGGCACATTTCCCTGGGTCCCCGGCCAAGGCCCAGGTGGACAGGATTGCCTGGGTCTTCCTCCTCCGTCCTGGCCCCTTGCTGCTGCGGCCTCAGGACAGCAGTTACTTCTCTTCACCCCCGCTCGGCTTTCCCCTTCCGATGATCCCGCGTGTCCTAGGGCCACTGGGCTCTGTATTCCAGTCCTGTGACCTTGCTTGCCAAGAGTCAGCTCCTCTCTGTCTCCGTTTTCATAAAGCTGAAAAGAAGCTGTCCCATCACACTTCGCTTCACAGGACAATCTAAAGATAAGAGAAATAATATGTGAGACGCTCTGCACTCTGGGGAGGAAGGTGTCCTATAAATCCCATTCAGGTATTATTAGGGCTGAAACTAGGTATTTCTGCCCCCTGGGGAAGAAGGGGCGGTGGGCTGGGGGAGGAGCTCATCCAAGGTTGTGTCACAGCCTCCAAGCAAGGAGTCCCGAGACGCAAAGGCAAGGGGTCAGGAAAGTCAAGGGCCTTTGGAGCCTGTTGGTTCAGCAGAGACTAGGAGGTAGGAGAGGACAACCGTGTCATTTCAAGGTACTTTACCTGTGTTATTTCTATGCCTCACTGCAACTGTATGAGAAAGGTGTGGCTATCTTCACTCCAGAAATAAGGAAACAGGCTCAGAGAAGTAAGGAGTTGGCCCAAGGTCACCCCAGTCATACAAGGTTCTGAGCCATGTCCCTGGGCGCACTTCTATCAGCTGTGCCAGTGGAAGCCACCTGGCTAGGGGTGCTGGGGAGAGCATGGATTGCTCCTCAGAGCTTGGAGCATCGGAGTTTAAAGACCCTGGCCCAAGGAAGTGGAATGGGGCATGCCCCAAGGAGAATACCGCAAACCCAGCCTGAGGGCCACCTGGGCAAACAGAGCCACCAGGACAAACACTGTTCAGAGCAAAGAGAAGCAGAAGAAAAGGCGAAGGCATCCAGAGTTGAGGCTGGGAGCACACCTAGCTGACCTTCAAGCTCTCTGGCCAAGTCCTGCTCCAGGGCAGGTCACTTTCCCAGCCCCATGCCACTTGCCAGCAATGAACTGGGTTTTCATTTTTGTAGCTTCTGAATGAAGGTGCCTCCCTGCAACCCACAGAAGCTTCAAAGGGACAAAGCTGGCCAGGGTTCCTGTGACCTAAGGGTCCGGGGGCAGTGGTTACTGCCAGGTAACAGTAGAAAAAGAAGGAAGAACGTTCAGACTATAAAATGTAGGGGGCTAAAAGGGACCCCAGACACCATCTTGTCCAGTGCTCCTTGTCCAGGAAAGGAGGTGGCTTGCCCTAGACCACTCAGTAGGAAGCTGGGCTAGAGTTCAAGTCTCTGACTTCTAGCTAGGTGGGGCTATGTCTTCCTATGCTCCTGTCACTCTACCTGGCCATCTTAAGCCCTCAAAGGCAGGGATTTCACCCGACGCGGCAAAGACAAAGGCCAGCTAAAAGAAGCCACCACCGTTGGAAGGTGCACCGTGTGACAAGGGTGGCCTCAGGAAGCCTGGGCTGGGGGCAGATGCTGCGTTGAGGCCAGAAGCTCTCCCCGATGACGGAATGTGGCTCACACCACCCCCGACACCGCACTCCCACGTCCACAGCAGGAGCCACACAGCTCCCCCGGCTGGTGAGGAAACAGAGGCATGGGGAGGGGCAGCTCTAGGGATGTGAGAAGGGCCAGAGCCCCCAGGAGAAGCCCATCCCCACAGAGCCTGGTGGCAGGTCAGCTGCCAGTGGGGGCCTGGGGTTGGGAAAGACCTCCGCTCCTCGCCCTCGGCTGCTGGGTCATCTGCCAGGTTGGGCAGGTGCCCCGTGCCACGCAGGCCTGACCTGCTCGGCGTGCAAAGGAGACCCAGGGATCCCACATCCTTCGACCTCCACAGGAGCTGCCCTCAAGGGATGCCTGTGTACTTGCTGATGAACCGGCAGGTGACAGAGCAGAAAGACACAAAGACAGGTGAACTTGCTTCTGCCCAGCTGTGCCCTCCTCCCTTGGCTGACGGCTTGGGCCAGCTGCCATTCTGACTGGCCGGGGCCCAGGCTGTGCCAGTGCTTAAATACTCTCATTATCACCACTGTCCCCGTCCTCCAAATCTCAGCTACCTTAAATGATCCTGAGAAGTTCAACTCCTTCCTATTTGCCCCATACCTAAGTGAAAGGGACAAGAAAATTGACCCCAGTTAGTGTTCCCCATGTGCCTGAGAGTCCTCGTAGCAGCGCCATAGGCAGGGACCATTATTCCCATGTCACAGGAGTTAGAGGCTCTGGGACATTCGAGATCTACGGCATGGTAACGCCAGAAACACAGCCCTGCGCTAGGCCTCTGCCCACAGCGTCTCCTCTGCCCTCCTCTCCAGCCAAGGTCCTGGGCCTGGGCTTCCCCATCCCCGACCTGCTGGACCAGAAGCACCAGAGCCAGCGCGTTTGCATTCCGTGTTACCACCTCAGTTTCCTAACTCCCTGCTTCTCTCAGAGCTGCCCAGTCTAAGCAGGGGAAGCATACTGCCCCGTGCACTTGCCTAGTTCTAGAACAATCTCTACTTGTGCCCAGTCCCTGGCTGACCAGGGGAATGAACACTGAGACTTACAGAGGCTTCTTCTAACTGGGACTGGCAGCCAGAGGATTTGGGGGGCTGGGGTAAAGGGCAGCCACCAAACAATGAAACCTTAGCCATGCAGAAAAGGCTGGGAAGCCGTAATCTTGGGAACTTCCCTTCTGAGACACAAAGAGCAAGGTGACGCGCGACTGCGTGCAGGGCCTCTGCCCCAGCCCTCCACTGGGCAGCACCCGTGCTGGTCCAGCTCTGCCGGGCCACCGACTCAGGAGGGGGAACCACGCTTGGAATGTGATTCCCCGGCTTTGCGTGACGCTCCGTTAGCAGAGTGCGACTCCCAAGATCCCCTGTCACTTCCTAAAGCCTCTGCCAGCCCGCCCTCCAGCACCACGCTGATCACCAGATTAAGGAGCTCAGAGCTACAGCTGAGGCGGCTAAAAGCCGGGAGGGAGGAGTGGGGAGGGGCAGGAGGGCAGTGGGCAGCTCTCCCAAGGCCCTGCCTGCCCTCCCTTTCCTCCCCAACCCCTCCTGAGGCACCTCTCTCACTGTGTCCCTGCCATGAACCTCTTTTCTTCATTGAGCTTTGGGCTCCACCTCTAGATGCCCAGCTTAGGCGAGAGCCAGCCCAGGGAGACAGGGAGGGGCGAGAGAAGAGACCCCCAGAAACAGAAGTGGGAGGATGGAGAGAGGAGGACCGGGGAAGAGGCAGCCAAGATGGAAGGGGTGAGTGTGCAGGGGGTGGGGAGCTGCCCGGAGTGGGTGACATGAGGGGAGGAAGGTCCCCTGGCCTGAGTGGCCACCTGGGGTCAACCCCAAAGGCTCCCTGTGGATCCCCTGGCCAGCTGCCTGGCTCCAGAGCATGACACATCCCACAACACCTGAGGAGGGATTGGGAGGGGCGCCAGGAAAGGACTTGGGGGCCAGACCCCCTGGCGGCTGAATCCTGACACCCCCGCACCTGAACAAGAGAGGCCATGCTCCATGACCCCAAGGTTACTCTGGGGGGCCATGAAGAGATAGAAACTCTGAAGACATGACCTGGGAAAGTGTCCTTAGTCCTGACTAGGCATGCATCCAGACCCTTCTCTGTCCTGTCCCCCACCCCAGGGCCTGTAGGGGGAGACTGGGATACTCCCCAGGCTGGCCAGCAGCTGCTCCCCCTCCAGCTTCTCCTTTGCCACTCACTGCCAAGCGCCAGTCTGCTGGGCCAGGGCCTGCTTCCCACCAACGGAAGCAGAGTAGGGGCAGGAGGAGGGGCTCCTCTGTGAAGACCTGGGGAGACAGGCTCTGCCCACTCCGGATCCTCTGCTGGCTTTGAAAACATGAGCCCACAGTCAAATGTCAACAGGGATGAACTCCCTCCTGCAACACCCTCCTCCCAGAATTCGCTGGTCCCATTCCTGTTGTACCAAATCAGCAAGTGCTAAATCAATGAAGGTTTGAAATCAGCAAGTGCTAAATCAATGCAGGTTTGAAATCAAGTGCTAAATCAATGCAGGTTTGAAATGATCACCACTATCGCCACCATCACAGATTTCCTGAGGTAGAAGGGAACCAAGAGTTCCCTGAAGTTCAACTCACTCATCTTGCCAATGAGAAAACTGAGATTCAGGGTCAGGGAGGACTTGGCCTGCCCAAGGTCACACGACAAGCTGGTGGAAAGGACATGTCTCGTGCCCTTGTCTACCAGAGCCCTTTCCTTTCAGGGGCAGGCCTCTATGAGGGCCGAAAGGGGGACTTCTCTGTCATATCCCAAACAAGATCCTGGCCCAATCACAGGCGGCAGGGGGCTGGGGCCGGGGGAGGCCGTAATGCGATCAGCAGACTGGCCATCTGGCTTGGGGACGGAGAAGAGCCCAGACTGGCCGCCTCTGCTGCCCGGTCCCCAGGGGCCCCGTGCCGTGAGAGACAGACTGCCAGATGGACAGGCACTGGCCTGGGTCTGGGAGGAAGCCAGTGAGCGCGCAGAAGTCAGAGCTGACCGACTTCCAGTTGTGGAGGGGCAGGGGGTGCAGAAGGCACAGGGAGCAAAGACAGGCCCCAGAGGGCAGGGAGACAGAACAGAACAGGATCGGGGAGCAGAGATTCTCCAGCCAGGCCCAGAGCCTAGCTCCCAGGTAGGCCCAGCCCCTCTCAGCCCTACAGCCCCAGCCTACTGGCCAGCCACAAACAGGCCTCCTCCCGGGGAAAGGCAAACACATCTCCCCTGGCACCTTCTCAGACATGCATGCAAAACTAATTAACATGGGGAGACATGCGAGCAGCCGGCCAGCTCCACACCCTCAGCCCACGCGAACAAGGCGAGCCCTTGTCCAGGGGACGTGCACAAAGCTTTGTTGCTAATTTAGGCATCTGTCTCTGTCTGGTCTGGTCCTCCTGCCTGCGCTGGGGTTTTTCCCAGCCCCTTGGACAATGCTGGGAACAGGCCCTCCGATCCCTTATTCAAATCACACCCGGGACAATGAGCTCATTGTACACACCACAGAAAAGGGGATGCTGGGGGGTGGGAGTGTGTAACGGGGCATCGGGGAGAAGAGAAGGGTGGGTGGGGGGCCAAGAAAATGGGAACCCAGGAAAGTGTTTACTAACACAGCCCTGCAGCTGCCTTGGGCCCCCTCCCCTCCCCTGCCTGGCTGGGAGCTGGGAGAAGGGCTGGGACTCAGGTGGGGGCCAGAGTGGAAGAGGCTCCCACCTTCAGCCGCCTACAGCTACCTCTGCAGGT